CCCCAAAACCCCAAAACCCCAAAACCCCAAAACCCCAAAACCCCTAAGTATATATAATTAATTGAACCACAAAACTTCTCTGTTGATTTATTGGATTAAGAAATCTTTAGATTGCTGCAACCATTTCATGTAGAGCTTCTGGTCTTGATCCAAGGCCATGGCATCAACAAATGCGATAATATCATCGTTGATTCCAAGGTCTCCGAGATATTCCTGAAGTGCCTGTTTAAGGCTTGGGTCTAACGAGTCAAATTCTGGACCCAAATATCTTGTAGAGCTTCTTTCGTACCTGCTAAGTCTCATGACTTCCTATTTTATTAACCCTGCGTTTGCTAAGAACTTACTGCAACATTTTCTACCTTGACCATATGAACAATATAAAGTTTATCACCATGGATAGTGAGTTCTGCTATCATACCTTCTCCATTTTCATCTCCTGGGCAAATAGTGACAGTGACATCATGAATACTATCTTCAAACATGTCTTTGAACTCTTGTGGCTGTTCTGATTGGTTATCTCCTTCATCATAGTCGTCTATTTCTGGGGGCTGACTTTCGAAGCTAACTTTGACAGTCATTCCGTAAACTCTCTTTGAAATTGTGATGAAATAAGGATTCTCGTTTTCTACCAACTGGAATCCAGAGTATTGCAAGAACTCCTCAGCTTGCTTCACAGGCTCATAGTTCTCATTCTCGTAGTTGATTTCATTATCTAAAGAGGTTCTCAGTGATTGCAGACTCTTCTCGATCCTTACAATATTTGATGAAAAGGGTGATCTAGAGTATGACTGCTAATATATTACCTTTGAGCAGATACGATCGAAGTGCATGGAGTGGCCAATCTCATTAGCCCTGTTCCTGTTTGTGCTGATGGTTTCACCAGACTCGACAAACATTTGAAAGAACTTCTTTGTTTTAAAGCTTGAAACATATTTATTTTCTATTTTATAGTGTAAATCTGGGGTTTTGGGGTTTTGGGGTTTTGGGGTTTTGGGGTTTTGGGGTTTTGGGG